ATAGCCCCTCAATTTGTATGTATCATAATCAATGATACAGAAATTACTTTTACATATCAGTTAGGAACCCCTTTTCTCAGATGCCTAACACATGTTGATCATTTATATTGGAAGTGATAGTAGTGTGAAAGTGTTAGTTGCTCAGTCATGTCCAACTTTTACTGACCCCCCATGGACTATAGCCCTCCACACTCCTCTATGAGATTTCTCAGGTTACAATACTGGAGCAGGTAGCCATTCCCTTCTCCAGGGAATCTTCCTGAGTCAGGGATCAAACCCAGGTCTTCTGCATTGCAGGTGGATTCTTTACCATCTGAGCTACCAGGGGAAGCACTTATATTGGAAGGGATTCACCTATTTATTTTCTCTTACTCCCCCATGAGAACTCAGGTATTATGGACTTAAATGTTATTCCCTACTCTTTCTATTCCCAATATTAGCTTCCCCTTAAGTAAGATTTTGCAAGGAATCAGAGTCACAAAATTTCATAGATAAATATAATTGTACCTTGATAGAACATTCTGTTATTACTACTATTGCTGCAAATAAGTTAATAGATGCAGGAGTTGATGTACAAAAACAAACTTCTCATTCATGGGATTTTTTCCTTTACTAAATCCCGTATTGCTCAAAAATTGTTTTCTGCATTGTTTAACCCATACTAGTTTCTTTGATCATTTGTTTCTATTGACTATTTAGAACTGCTATTAACATTTGACTTATAGAATTAAGAAGACTGCTCATTTTATCTGCTTTATTCCTGTGCTCTACAGCCTAAACAATCTTGAGGCTGACTGTTAGGAAATTAAAATGGAGGAAGTCGTGTTCAGCCTTCAGAAGTAGGAGAGCAGGCCTCTGACCTGCCTGGACACTGCCAGGATTATGTGCCTGCCTGCAAGCTCAGCAAGTCAGAAGGCACTTTAGATAAGAAAGGGAGTCGGTCTGGGAACTCTTGAGCCCCTGGAGGTCTGGCCAACACCATGGGGTCTAATAAGTTTTATATCTCACAAGGTCAAACAAATAACATAATGTTGTTTAAATAAAATAAAACCAATCCCTCCCCTACAATTAAGATTCCCCAAACATCAGTCATCCTGTTACCTCACCACTGACCAATCAGAAAAAATTTCCTCAAGCTGATCACACACCTGCTGCCCTCATCCTTTATTGTTGTTTAGTCACCAATTGTGTCTGACTCTTTTGTGACTCCATGGACTTTAGCCCACTAGGCTACTCTGTCCATGGGATTTCCCAGGTAAGAATACTGTAGTGGATTACCATTTCCTTCTCCAGGGATCTCCCCAACCCAGGGATCAAACTCATGTCTTCAGCATTGGCTGGCAGATTATCACTGAGCCACCTGGGAAGCCCACCCTCACCCCCAGGGTTGTCTTTAAGAACTCTTGCCTGAAAGCCATGAGGAAAATTCTGATGTTTGGCACATCACCTGCCTGTTTTCCTTGCTTGGAGCCTTGTACTTTCTCTCACCACAGTCCACTGTCAGTAGATTGGCTTGGCTTCAGGTAGGATGAGCAAGAGCCCAGTTCGATTCAGTGACAAAGAATGTCCCACAAAAATGAAAATATGTACTATTAATATCTTACCATTCATAGAAAAAGTTTGCTTATTTCCTCCTCTATACTTGCCTCTCACCACTTTCCATTGTAGCAAACCCAAACTATTTTCAGTCCCTAACAGACTGTTTTTCTCTCTGATCTGCTCTCCTCTCCCACCCCTCCATGGTGTTTCAACAGAACTAACTCCATTTTCACATTTAACAGTTGCTTTGATTGCCCTTTTATTTGTCTGGTTCAAGTGTTCACCACTGAATCCTCAGCACCCAGCACAATTCTTGCCCTTTTTCAGCACTGGTAAAAGTGTGGTGATTGAATTAGCAGCATCTTGAAGAAATGAACAATACTGTGTTCCAACTTTCAAAAGTCTGCAAAAGGAAAACATATAAATGACAAATTAATTTACAAAGAAGAATTAAAAAGCATCAAAGAGTAGCAAGTATTCTGCAGTATAATCAAGTAGAGAGAATTTCACCAGGTGAAAGTTTCCCCTTCTTTAAAATTCTTCCTGATTTGAACACAAGACCCCTCTATGATGAAACTCTTATTGAGCTTTTTGTAGTCACATACTGTTCTCATCTGTAAAATAAAGCTAAATAATTCCAATTACCAAGGGAACATTTCTGCAAAGATGGGCACAATAAAGGACAGAAACGGTATGGACCTAACAGAAGCAGAACATATTAAGAAGAGGTGACAAGAATACACAGAACTATACAAAAAAGATCTTAATGATGCAGATAACCATGATGGTGTGATCACTCAGCTAGAGCCAGACATCCTGGGGTGCAAAGTCAAGTGGGCCTTAAGAAGCATCACTATGAACAAAGCTAGTGGGGGTGATAGAATTCCAGCCGAGCTATTTCAAATCCTAAAAGATGATGCTGTGAAAGTGCTGCACTCAATATGCCAGCAAATTTGGAAAACTCAGCAATGGCCACAGGACTGGAAAAAGTCAATTTTCATTTAAATCCCAAAGAAGGGCAATGCCAAAATTGTACACAATTGCATTCATTTCACATGCTAGAAAGATCATGATGAAAATCCTTCAGGCCAGGCTTCAACAGTATGTGAACCGAGAACTTCCAGATGTACAATTTAGATTTAGAAAAGGCAGAGGAATCAGAGATCAAATTGCCAACACCTGTGGGATCATAGAAAAAGCAAGAGAATTCCAGAAAAACGTCCACTTCTGCTTCACTGACTATGCTAAAGCCTTTAACTCTGTGGATCACAACAAACTGTGGAAAACTCTTAAAGAGATGGAAATACCAGACCACCTTACCTGTCTCCTGAGAAACCTGTATGCAGGTCAAGAAGCAACAGTTAAAACTGGACGTGAAACAACTGTTTCAAAATTGGGAAAGAAGTACATCAAGGCTATACATTCTCAACCTGTTTATTTAACTGACACAGAATACACCACGCAAAATGCCCGGCTGGATGAACCACAAGCTGGAATCAAAACTGCATGAAGAAATATCAACAATCTCAGATATGGAAATGACACCACCCTTATGGAAAAAAAGGAAGAGGAACTAGAGACTCCTGATGAAGGTGAAAGTGGAGAGTGAAAAAGCTGGCTTAAACTCAGCATTCAAAAAACTAAGATCATGGCATCCACTCCCAGCACTTCATGGCAAATAGGTGGGGGGAAATGGAAACAGTTCAGTTCAGTTCAGTGGCTCAGTCACATCTGACTCTTTGTGACCCCATGGACTGCAGCACAATAGGCTTCCCTGTCCATCACCAACTCCCAGAGCTTGCTCAAATTCATGTCCATCAAGTTGGTGATGCCTTTCAACCATCTCATCCTCTGTTGTACCCTCCTTCTCCTGCCTTTTATCTTTCCAAGCATCAAGGCCTTTGCCAATGAGTTAGCTCTTTGCATCAGGTGGCCAAAATACTGGAGTTTCAGCTTCAGCATCAGTCCTTCCAATGAAAGTTCAGGGCTGATTTCCTTTAGGATTGACTGGTTTGATTTCTATTGGGCTCCAAAATCACTGTGGATGGTGACGGCAGCCATAAAATGACAAGACACTTACTCCTTGGAAGAAAAGCTATGACATACCTAGACAAGGTATTAATAAGCAGAGATATCACTTTCCCCACAAATGTCCATAAAGTCAAAGCTATGGTTTTTCTAGTATCATGTATGGATGTGAGAGTTGGACCATAAAGAAGGCTAGGCACTGAAGAGTTGATGCTTTCAACCTGTGGTGCTGGGAAAGACTCAGACTCTTGAGAGTCCTTTGGACAGCAGGAGATCAAACCAGTCAATCCTAAAGGAAATCAATCCTGATTATTCATTGGAAGGACTGATGTTGAAGCTGAAGCTCCAATACTTTGGCCGCCTGATGCAAAGAGCCAACTCATTAGAAAAGACCTTGATGCTGGTAAAGATAAAAGGCAGGAGAAGAAGGGGGCGAGAGAGGATGAGATGATTGGATGGCATCACCAATTCAATGGACCTGAGTTTGAGCAAGCACAGGGAGATGGTGAAGGACAGGGAAGCATAGCGAGCTGCAGTTCATTGGGTCGCAGAGTTGGACACAACTTGACTAACAAAAACAAATTCCAATTTCACAGGATTAAAAGAATATGGTTAATTTTTTTACTATTTTTGGTTATGCTGGGTCTTCGTTGCTGCACGCAGGCTTTCACTAGTTGCAGTAGCAGGTAAGAGGCTACTCTTCCTTGTGGTCGCTTCTCTTCTTCTGGAGCACAGGCTCCAGTAAAATGGGCTTCAGTAGTTGCAGCTCACGGCCTTAGTTACTCTGATGCCTGTGGAATCCTCCCCGACCAAGGATTAAACCCATGTCCCCTGCATTGGCAGGCTGATTCTTATCCACGGTACCATCAGGGAAGACCAGAATATGGTTAATTATTGAAAGCAGGTAGTTCAGTGCTTACTTTCTTATAGGAAGTGCTCGATAAACGTCACCCTCCAGTCCCTAAAACACGCCCTTTGACGGTCATGGTTTCTGTATCTAAGAGGGTCTCCGGTGTGCATCCACTAATGCTGGGCCCAGCACGGAATGCACCCCTGTAGTAACAGCGGCCACGCGCAGAGCCGCGAGGTTCCAGGGGGTCTTGGAGAGGTCCGGCGCCTGGCTAGCCCACCAGGGAAATCGCCCGAGCCGCGCCGGAGGGACTGCAGAATGACAACTCCCGCAGTCCTTCTCAGAGCCCAAGACTTCTCTCTAGTTTGTCACACTGTCGCTCCGGCGCAGCGTGCAGGGTTCCGCCCCGAGGGGGCTACGCCATCCCTCCGTAGTCGCGAGCGCGCCGGCGCCTGGTCACCGGAAGAGGCGGGTGACGTCACGAGGGACTACGCGTTGCGCTGGAGGCGGGAGTTGACAGACGGTCTCTGGCTGAGTCTCCGCGGCCCGGGGACCGCGGAAGAGGCTCCGCAGGGCGGCCGCGATGCCCAGCCCCCAGCGGGTCAGTCAGCTCCTGGATCTGTGAGTCCGCCCCGGCCCGCCTTCCTCTCGCCCCGCCCCGGCACAGCCCGCGCCCGCCACCCCTCAGGGCACCCCATCCCCGCCCCCTTCCTGCCTCCCCTCGAGGAGGTTCGCAGGCTGTTACTGCTCCTGGGTTCGTGATTTGTCCTGTCCTGGCTGAGGACAATCGTGTCAAGTGGGCTGCCCGGCAGGCTTGCCCCTCTGACCCCCGATGGGTGTCCGAACTCAGCCTTGACAGCTCCTCGCCCAGGCGATTCCTGGCAGTGGCCTGTCTCTGACGGGAGCTAAAGCCTTAGTGAAATAAAACAAAACACTGGATGGGGCTCTCAAAAGCCTTCAGCAGAGTTACAGCCAGTTACTGTGATGGGGGTAATTATTGATTCTTTGACACAGCGCTTAAATCCCTGATTGCGCTTGCTGGGTTCAGCTCCCGGGCCTGCCATTCTCCAGCTGTATGACTATGGGAGAGTAGCTTAACCTTACTGTGCCCGAGTTATTGATCTACAAAATTAGTATAATAACAGTACCTATCTCATGGGTTTATGTGCTGTGCTTAGTCGCTCGGTCGTGTCTGACTCTACGAACGTATGGACTGTAGCCAGCCAGGCTCCTCTGTCCATAGGGATTTTCCATGACTGTGAAATAGTCATATCAAGTTAAGCTCTCTGCAATTTCTTTTAATACTAAGTAGTCTTCTAAGGATTTAAGTGTGTTAAATTTACCCTCCCGGTAACGCTATGGCCTGTAACTGCCTAGTATTAAAAGAAATTGCAGAAAGCTTAACTTGATATGAATACTTTATAGGCATGTCATTATAGGATGGCTTATAAAGTGAGCATAAGGAAGTTCTTTAACCTTTACAATGGTTTATGACATTAGGAGTTTACAGATGGTAGGAGATTGATTAAAAATGATTACTTTAGGCTATTTTAAGAAGACGATTTAAGTTGATTGTCAGAGGCATTTACAAGAAATAAGTTTCACTTATGTTCATGATATAAACTAGATTTGGTTTTGGTTATGTGACTTAACTGGTTTGGTCACCTTGAGGGATTTTTTCAAGCCTGGTCTCGATTTATTTTATTTTTAAAAAATCCCCGACTTTCAGTCATTCTCTCAGCAAGCTGAGAGTGAACCAATATAGTGTTACTCTCACTACTCCTTCAATGTAGGCCCTGGGATGAATGGTCTTGTAGTTGCCCTTACCAGCAGTTGCATAGTCACCCTGGACACTGGCAGTAGGATCTTCTTGTTCTTCCAGTTGTCTAACACTAATGGATAACATTTGATGTGTGAGTAGCCACTGAAGACATTTAGAACTCTAGAGAGGATACACTGCATTAAGGAGGCTAATATGATGACTATCAGGAGAATAACAGCCAAGTATTGAAAAGGATTCTCCAGAGCAGAGATTTCCAACTAAATAATCAAGAGAAGCATGTGTGTGTTAAGTCACCTAAGTCATATCCAACTCTTTGCGACCCTATGGACTGTAGCTTGCCAGGGTCCACTGTACATGGGATTCTCCAGACAAGAATACTAGAGTGGGTTGGCATTTCCTTTTGCAGGAGATCTTCCTGATCCAGGGATTGAGCCCGTGTTTCAGAAGTGTTGCCTGTTTGATAAAAGATTGGCATCTAGTCTTCGGATTTTTTTTTTTAACCAGTTATTCTGTTAAGTCCGTGTGCCCAGTGAGGCGCATTAATACTAAAACACTAGAGTTTGAAACAGAGATTTATTACAGATTCATACAAGGAGATGGGTGGTTCATGCCCTAAGAAACCCAAAGTTACTGAAAGCTTTCAGCAAGCCCCTTTAAAAGTAAAAGGTGAGGGAGGGGCATGGTTAGTTGTTACAAACTTCTTGTCTAAGATCCTTTGCTCTTGAGGTCAGGTCATGGTCAGGTAACAACACTCCTGTAAATCTCTACCAAATGAATGTTATTCTGTGTCTTGACAAGAAAAGGCAAGGTCCCAAGGCATAACTCTTACCCTCCAATAGCCCAGTCCTGGCTAATAGGAGGCAGATCTCAGTTGGCAGCTCTCTCAGGGACAGGTTCCCACATCCTGCCCAGATGTCATCTCTGAGGGAGCCAGGCGCCCAATCCAACTGGCCCTCAGTCTCCTCAGCCACCCACATGGGGAGACCAGGTTCAAGGCCTGGGCCAAGGCTAGTGGAGGGCCTTAGTAAGGGCTCTGGAGCCCTATAGAAGAACGTATTTCTTAGTGTGTTCCCTGGGCCCTCCAGCTCACCTGCTGGGCCAAGGCTGAGTGAGCGGGAGGGCCTCCAGGAGAAGGCTTGACTCTCCACCTAATGACCACCACACCAATGACCCTTGGGTAAATCACTTCCCTAATGGTCCCTCACTGACAGTTACTTGTGGGCAGGGCCCACTGAGGCACTGAGCAATGACTATGCAAGACCTGTTGCCTAGTAACAGGGTGCATAGTAGTGAGGCACAGCAACAGCTGCCTGCTAAGGGCTGTGCTCATCTTGCTCTCTCATAATAGTACATACACCTCCATCTTGGGTAGTCAGGGTGTCTAAGGCTATGCAGTTGTCTAAAATAACTCTGGCTAAACAATTTCTAGATTCTTGCTGTGATTATAGAGATTTTGCAGAGGATAAGGTCTCTCCTAGTGAGATTTAAGTGCAGTTTTTTGTTGGTGTCTTTTCCAATAAACTGAGTTTCTAGGTTTTAATATATGAGGCATTATCTTGTTTTAGAAGCAGACCACAGAAAGCTTTATGGACCTGGTGGAAATAAGCCTTTCAGTATTACATTAGTGTCTTCTAGTACTGAACTTTGTCATGGTTACTTAGGATGGGATTAACATGAAGATGCCTTATTTTAGGAAGAAGTGTGATAGGTAAGCTTCCATGTAAGTAAGCTTTTGTATGGTGTAAGCAATCAGTTATTTAATAAGTATTACTATGGAAACAAAAGAAAGGCAAAGATTAAAGATTAGTTGGAACAAAGTATAAATGCAGTTGTTGAGTCTAGAGAGCAGCCAGTCAAGAAAATTTGGAGAGCTGAGCCTAGATTTTTAGATGGTGGAATGAATTCGGGAGTTTTAAACTGATAGATTTTCCTGGTTTGCAGTTTGAATGTCAGTGATGATGTCATCAGGTGTTCTGCTGAGGTCTGAGTGGCCTACATAGAAGGAAGTATGAAAGTTGTTTTTTTGTTTGTACATGATCCATTGTGGTGAATTCTCTGAAGTCTATATCAAGACCTATAGCTTTATCTTGTAGGGTTTGAGGAAAAGAACAGTTTAAGTTTTAATTTCAAGTCAGAAGGGTGGGAGAAAATTGAAAATATTCGTTTGGAGAGTTGTAGCCAGATGTTAGAGAAAACCATAAGAGTTCAGGATCCAGTCTAGTTTACAGTTAGAAACAAAACCCCAAAGAAAATAAGCAGGACTAGAATTTGATTATGGGTATGCCAAAGATTTCTGTTTAAACATAATTTTTCTCTCTATAGTCATTTTTACCAATGATAATCATAGTAAGTAATTTGTTTGTAACATAAGTCCAATCTCTTTAAACTTGACTTGTTATTTACAGAAGTACAGCAAGAATAGATTTTATGTGCATTCTCAAATATGATATTCCAAGTAAAGCTTTGGTAATATCCAAGGGCCTTTATTGACTCTATAAAGTAAACTTTAGGGACTTCTCTGGTGGTCCAGTGGTTAAGAATCCACCCTCCAATACAGTGGACCCAGATCCGATCCCTGGTCAGGAACTAAGATCCCACAGGCCCTAGGGCAAATAAGCCCCTATGTACCACAACTGCGGAGCCCACTATCTCTGAAGCCTGTGTGGCAACAAACGATCCCTCGTGCAACAACTAACACCCATCACAGCCAAAAACGAACAGACAAATATATATATTTTAAAGTCAACTTTAGATACTTAAAACTGACTTAACAAGGAAACTCAGGTTACATCTTTAAAAGCCTCTTTATGCTAAGAAGCCAAGCCAAGGACTTAGCAGTTATGTCCTATTACAGGGAGAACAAATTCTTATTGAATTTGTGCAAATATCTATTGCCATGAAAATAGGAATACTCAATAACAGGGTTTTTAAATTTTGTTTTAATTCTGAAGGAATCAGATAAGGAGAAAAAGAAAAATGTTTCATTTTTGTTTACAAAAGTATACCAAATTGTTGTACGTTTAGATAACTTAGAAGGAGAGGGAAAAAAAGATTTTAAATCTGGAAAACAAGCATTAAAGAACCACAGTGTTTCAAGGAAAGTCATAAAAGTTAGTTATTTTCATCAGTTCATTTGGTTCCTTGGAATTAAACTTTATTTTCCCTTATCTTGGGTTAGCAGTTTTATGAATTAAGCAGTTTCTCCATTAGAGTTCTAGAAATTCTTACTCAGTTTACTGGTGTCATCTTAAAGTTATCAGAAAGCAATATTCTAGAGTACTTGTCAGGGTCCTTTCTGTGAATCTCCACAAAGACAAAGCATTCTGGGCTACAGTTGATTGTAAATACTTTCTGAGAAGAATTGAGAGTAGAACAATAACTCTCTGTGAATGACAAAAGACTTAAAAATAGCCATGGTTAAAGATCTGATGAGAATTCCCTGTTAAAAAAAAATGACGAAATTGTCAGATAAATTCAGCTATTTCTATGACAAACGATATTTTAAGATGACTGATAACATTATACTAGGATGTGTCAGATTTCTAAGAATTTCATGCAATTTCTGAAACACATATTAATGACATTTTGCTGTTGTTCAGTCACTCAGTTGTGTCCGACTCTTTGCAACCCATGGACTGTAGCACACCAGGCTTCCCTGAAGTCCATCAGCAATTCCCGGAGCTTGCTCAAACTCATATCCATCGAGTCGGTGATGCCATCCAACCGTCTGATCCTCTGTTGTCCCCTTCTCCTCCCGCCTTCAATCTTTCCCAGCATCAGGGTCTTTTCCAGTGAGTTGGCTCTCTGCATCAGGTGGCCAAAGTATTGGAGCCTCAGC